CTTCTCGTCTCAGATTGCAGAAAAAATACAAGGCTGCCAAAGGGCATTCATACTATGTTTTTAAGCATTCATACAGTAGATAGAACAAATTAGAAAAATTCTCCCCATTCCTATTAGCAACTAAAAAAATCTTCTTGAAAGAATTTTATTTCCTTTACAAGACTCCTAGCAGAAACTGTGTTTGTCCAGTAGGCCAGAAATTATCCAGCTAATAATCAAGAGAAACACAAGCTGATCACTTTACTCTGACACCCCAACTCTCTTATTAATTTAAGGGCTATGAACAAGGGTTACTGCTTAAAATGCTTAGATCCAATTACTCTGGTCAAATTGGGATTATGAGCATCAAAATGAATAATGATTAAAATAAAATCCATGAGTCCATGCTAAAATAAATAAGTGGACTGAAAAGATAGGGCAAGGAGAAGAAAAAAGCTCATTTACAGAAGATTGGTATCTGTAGAAGGAATCATAGAAATAGAAAAATCATTATTTTACAGCCATTATACTAATAATTCAGGCAAGAATCATCATGTAAAAAACTACTAGGGAACCAGATGTTCATTCGATATCCAAGTATCACCACAGATTATTTATTAATTACAAAGGAGAAAGTGTACCTTTATAAGAAAAGTCTGGCAGACAAGGCCTTACCCAAATGGTCAAACTTAACACTACCCATGATGGGGAAAGCTAACAATGTGCCCCTCTGCTGCAATACGCTGAGAAGGATACATCATTTATCTAGTACTCTTGCCCAGATACTTAATCTGAATGAAGAAACAATCAGACAAATTCAAATTACTGGACATCTTAAAAAAAAAAACAAAAAAAAACCCTAGACTTAAAACTAAGGAAGGTCATGTGTGGGTTTTCCCTGATAGCATGAACTAAACGCCCAGCCACCAGCTAGCACTACCACCAGACATGTACACAAATAAGCCTACAGATGATTTCAGCCCTCAGGCTTTATGTGTTCTAGCTGTGGTCCTAGACATCACACAGCACAGAGAAACTATCTCCTACCCTATCTGAATTCCTCACTCAAAGAACTGTGAGCGATAATACATAATTATTACTGTTTCAAGTCACCAAGTTTTAGGATAATTTGTTATGCAACAACAGATAACTAATATACACTCTAATAAGGCAGAATCTCAATTTTCCTCAGTAGTGCCTACCTCACAGTAGGTACTTCATAGTACCTACTATGCCATAGTACTATGGTAGGGGAGTGCATGAGGTGCTTTGGGAGAGCACAAAGAAGGGCCTCTGACACAGTCCTGAGGTCACAGGAGGCTTCCTAAATTCAACAAAGGATTAATTGGGTTAAGAAAGCAGCAGAGGGGGCGCCTGGGTGGCTCAGTCGGTTAAGCGTCTGCCTTCGGCTCAGGTCATGATACCAGGGTCCTGGGATCAAGTCCCGCATCGGGCTCCCTGCTCTGTGGGGAGCCTGCTTCTCCCTCTCCTCCCCACTTGTGCTGTCTCTCTCACTATCTCTGTCTCTCTCTAATAAATAAAAAACAAAAATCTAAAAAAAAAAAAAAAAAAAGAAAGCAATAGAGGTATTTCTGCCAAAGGAAACAGATTAAGCAAAGGTAAACAAGCTAGAAACACCATGGTGTATGTAGAGAATAAGTTTTATATTGGTGGAATAAAAGGAAGAAGTGACAGGAAACAAGGTTGCAGAGTTCAGAAACACAGAGGCCCTTGTATATGAAGTTATGGACCCTATGACAATGGATTTTATACAGAGAAGTGACAGAGATTTGAAAATTTAGGTAGATAATCCTGTAAGGGTAATACGGGAGCAAATTTAAGAATGGTAATGCTTTGAAGGAGATATGGCCGTGAACTACAAGGGAAATGGTTGGACAAAACAGGAGTTGAGAAATAGAAAAATCAGGAAGAATTCATAACTAACTGGCTAAGTATATACTGGAGAGTTGAGCGGGACAAAGAAAAGATTCTATGTTAATACTTCAGTTTCTAAACTGGGTAGAGTGGTACCCCCCCATCAAAATCAGATAAAGAAAAAGGATTGGGTTTGGAAGAAAAGAGTTTAGCTTTCATCTTGGTGAGTCTGGAGTATCTATGGAACATCCAGTTGGAAATGTCTAACAAGAGGATATAAATTCAAGTCTCAAATTAGGGGGAAAGGTCAAAATAGAAATATAGATCTGGGAGTCTTTAGTATACAGGTAATTATTAGAATTGTGAGATAACCTAAGAATGGCCAGAGAGAACTTACAGAGTAGTGGTTCTCAACCAGGGACAATTTTGCTCCCTCAGGGGACATTTGGCAATATCTGAAGACAGTTCTGGTTATCATAACTGGGAGGATAAGGGGGGTTTACTACAGGTAGTAGACAAAAGCCAGGGACACTGCTAAACGTCCTGTAATGTACAGGAGAGCCTCCCACACAACAAAGAATTATCTAGCCCCAAAATGTCACTGAGTCCCAAAGTTAAGAACCCTATTGCAGACTAAGGAAAAGTCAGAGAAGAGGTAAATCGAGAAAACTTACTGTCATGGAAGTCAGAGAAGCAGAGGATTTCACAAGGGGGGAGAAAATGTTGAATTCAGTACATTAGACTCATACAATGAAGATTTTGAAATACACACTGGGTCTTCACCCCTGCAACACAGGGATTTTAGTGAAAGGAGAACCAGATTATAGTAGTAGAGGAATAATGAGAGATGAGAAAGTACAAAAAGTAAAAGCAACTCCTCGGGAAATTTTATTGGAAAAGGAAAGAAATACGATTGGGCAGTAACTAAAACAATGGTTCTCAACTCTGGCTACAATCAGAATAACCTCAAAAGCTTTTAAAAATTACCAGTGCTTAGGGGTGCCTGGATGGCTCGGACGGTTAAGCGTCTGCCTTCTGCCTTCGGCTCAGGTCATGATCCCAGGGTCCTGGGATACAGCCTCACGTCAGGCTCCCTGCTCAGTGGGGAGCCTACTTCTCCCTCTCCCTCTGCCTGCTGCTCCCCCTGTTTGCACTCTCTCTCTCTCCCTGTCAAATAAATAAAATCTTTAAAAAAAAAAAAAATTACCAGTGCTTAGATCTCACCCAGAATACTTAAATCGGAATCCTTGGGGACAGGGACCAGGTATCAGGATTTTTAAAAATACCTCAGTGACACTAATGTACAGCCAGAGTTGAAAACCATGCTGCTAAAGTGTGGGGAGGCGGGGCAGCAAGGGGGAAAAAGGGAGCAGGGAGATGAAAATGGATGAAACTAAATCTCAGAGGAAATAGGTAAAGAATGAGTCAGAAACATGGGCTAATGGAGTTACTTTGAAAACAAAGGCAGGATACCTCATCTTAGGAGACTGGAAGGAGAAATAAATATTAATGTAGAAAAATGTGACCCAGGGTTTTTGGGAGTTCATGTCTGAGGCCCCAATTTTCAAAATGAAGAATATAATCAGCTGCTGAGAATGAGCTACCAGACAGGAAATCTGGAGTGAGATTTGGCGGAAGTTCAAAATATTTCCTGAGGGGAATGCAAATTAAAAGACTAATCAAAAGCATTGACAGTCTAATGGAGATTAAATACACTTTGCCAGCTGCAGGGGCACCAATGGGCACATTAATGATTTTCCTCCAGCAGTACTCAGCCATTCCCTTAGGGGAGGAACAAGGTAAAAGCAGACCACAGCACTGATCCAAAATTGGCAGTTTAGTGGGTAGGAGAAAATAAGTGCACAAGAGGTAAAACTGTAGATGAACTGTAGCTGAGGAGCTGAACAATGGGGTCCATACCAGGTAGAGAAAGGAAAGTAAACTACATGCAGTTTAAAGGGCACAGATTTGCCTCTCAGCACCATATGTTATTACAATGGTCTAAGATTTTTTGGCTTTTGTCCTTGACAATCCCATTAAATCAGATCTCCTATATCTTATTATTGTCCTAAGAAGAAATGTCTACAACTAACTTTGAAATTCATAAGATATAATATGAACTAATGGACAAATAGGTGGATAGATATGTGATAAAGCAAGTATAGTAAGCTATTAATAGTAAAATCTAGAAGGTGTATATATGTAAGGGAGTGTAGGCTCTAGAATAGCACTGTCCAATAGCACTTTCTGAGATAACAGAAATGTTCTATAATCTGTGCTGTAAAATATGGTAACTACCAGCAATCTGTAGCTACTGAACCCTTGAAATGTGGCTACTGTGACTGAAGAATTTTGAGTTTTATTAACTTTTAATTAATTTAAATCGATATAACCCCATGTGGCTAGTGGCTGCCATGCAGCACTAGATTCATACATCCCTGGATTCAAGTAAATCCTGGATCTACCACTGATCCAAGTTATTTTATTTCTCCGAGTCTTAGTTTATTCTTATATAAAATAAGAATAGCAATAGCACCTACTAATTCATATGGATTAAATAAGCAGATAAAGCATGAAGTACAATCCTAAGCATATGGCAAACACTTTTAAAAATTCATGTTTATTATTCCTACAAAATGGGCTCTATGAGATCAAAGGTCAGCATCTGTTCTGCTCACCACTGTATCCCCAATATCTAACAGAAGTGGTCCAGCATAAAAGACATTCAATAAACATTTGTTGCATGAATGTTTTTACAGTCACAAGACTATATTTCTATTAAATTTCATATTAAGTCCACTGCTCCAATCTGTTGAGGTCTTTTTGAATCCTAATGTTGTCCAATATATTGGATATCCCTTTCAGTATTTTCTGATAAACAAATATTATCACCTATATATTAATCTAAGACATTAATAAAATTAACCAGAGACCTATATCATTACTTTTAGCATCCTTTAGTTTATCATCATTTGTTAACTGGTAGCAGCTGAGAAGAGACATTCAGTTTAACTTCACCTTCACTCTGTTTATATCTCCATCTTGTCCATAAAGGTAAGAAGTATGAGAACCTTATAAAGATTAGATTATGCCAATACATCCTTCATTGAAACTACCCTTAAAGAGAACTTAAAGAAAAAACTCACCCTTCAATAGCTGGGGATCTATCAGGACGAGTACTTCCTCGTGATCTGTATCTTCGAGTCATTGGCAGCCGTGGAGGACGACTTGGTCCCCAGAAGTCAGTGTGAGTTTGGTGACCCCTCTCATTGGCTCTATTATCTTGGTCCAGTGGATTGCTACTTAGAAATGGTCTAAAATCTGGGAAAAACATCGTGTGGTCCAAATGCTCCCAGAGCTAGTAAAAACCAGAAATAAACAACACGTTACTGGTTTCAAGATCAGAGGAAAGAGGAAATGGTAAGAATAAATACTGAAAAAGGAGGAAAAAAAATTTTTTTGGAATAGTTTTTAACACTTCGAAATTCAGCAGTTCCAAACTAAAGAAGTGTATATTTCCCTAATTTCACGGAGGAGAAAAGAAATGTCTTTCAAGTGCATACATGGTGTGTGTGTACAGGGGGGGCACTTATATACTGAGAAACTTAAATTCCCTCATACAGAAACAAGCCAACAGCTGGACCCTTTCCTTAATACTGAGCTCATATTCACATGCCTCTGGCCAATTTCCCCTTCTGAAGTAAAAATGTGAGCCAGACATGACCATGGACTTCTGTCCTAAGCACAACCATTTAGATCATCATATTCTCGTGCTTTGTCACAAATAACATCCACATTTTTACTATATAATAACCTAAGATTTAAATAAAATGGATGTAGTTACACATTTTTTTTACAGATCATCATTACCACAAAGTGGAGACAGAGGACTACAAAATACTTCTATTATCTAGAAACTGCATCAGAAAGGGACATTGTCAAAGCTGTGCCAAAGCAGTGCAGGAACGTTTGGTAAGACTATTCTGTTGTACATATTTTATCACTCAAAGGGTGTTGTTGGGGATGTGGGGACAGGAGTAGGGGGGGATGTGTGTTTGGAATTATTCAACAAAGAGTGAATGGAAAAAACAAACCACCACTGAAATAATTTAAATTTTATTTATCTGTACACCAGATATTTTAGAGTTCCAGAGAATACTACCTATTTCACTCCATCCAACCAAGTACATAACTCTGGTTACATCCTGGTCTTTTCATTTTGTTTCAAAGTTTTAAGTCAAACAGAAAAACTTATTATTTAATGCATATATAATAAGAGGGACACAAAACTGCTCAGCACATGACCTTAGGTCTTAAAATCCTCACAGCCCTCCTGCTCCAGTCTGATCATTTCTTCCAGAGACCCATACTAACAATAGCCTCCTCTAGAAACATTCAGAGAACAGATTAGCAGGCCAGCTGCATGTTACAGCTGATCTGATTTCAGAGCCCACTCTAGTCTCAACCTAACATCCAGTAACTTGTCAAATCGATTCTTGAAATTAAGGAGTTTGTTTAGGTTTGTCAAAAATGTTATTTTTGCCATTTTTTCCGGTTTACATTTTGCTTCTTGATTTTCAAAGATGTTTCCTCCTCCTTTAAAAAATACACAATATAGTACAAAAATGTGAACACAGAATATAAAATATGAAGTGCAATACAGTCTCCATTCATTCAGCTATGACCAATCCCTACCCCTAATTCCTACTCTGAGGTTAATTTGGTGTGTAGAATTCCAATCTTTAAATATCTTTGTGTTAACACACACACACACACACACACACACACACACTCTCTCTTTCATTCAACAAATGAAACATTTAGCATGTACTCTGTCCCAATCACTTTCTGGGAACTATTTAAGATATGGCAGTGAATAAGATGTTAAAAAAAAAAGAACCTCTGCCCCAATGGATTTCATTTTTAAGTGGGAAGAGATACTACCCCTCCCCACAAATGGAAGGCAAAAGAAACTGTAGATATTAGACAGGGATAAAAGCCATGGAGGAAAAAGAGGCTTGCACTGACTCAGAACACACAAAGTCCTATCACTATTTTCAACAGCACCATAACATGGACGTTTTATATTTTATGTAGTCTTTAACATTTTTATTATAATATCTAGTATCTGATACATGTAAAATATAATGAGGTATAAGAAAGTAAAATACAGGGGCGCCTGGGTGGCTCAGTCGTTAAGCGTCTGCCTTCGGCTCAGGTCATGATCCCAGGGTCCTGGGATCGAGCCCCGCATCGGGCTCCTTGCTCGGCGGGAAGCCTGCTTCTCCCTCTCCCACTCCCCCTGCTTGTGTTCCCTCTCTCGCTATCTCTCTCTGTCAAATAAATAAATAAAAATCTTTAAAAAAAGAAAATACATACCCATATAACCATCTTAGTTCACATCACTAAAGCCACTGAAACCCCCTGTGTGTCCCTCCCTGCCCCAACCTCCAGTAACCACAACCCATAATTTTTTATTATCCCCTTGCTTTTCTTTACAGTTTTACTAGAAATGTATATATCCCTAATAAAATGTGACTTATGAATTATAAAAGTGCCTTATGAAAGCACTTGCTTTTTTGGCTGCACATGTTGGTGCATTCATTTTCACACATATTTTATACCACACTTTTTAAAATCTTTTCTCCTCAATAAACATCTAGATTGTTTCCAGGTTTTTGCTATTACAAACAGCCAGTGTGAACATTCATATATGTGTCGTCTGCTGCAGAGATAGAAAAGTCTCTCCATTTAGCAGTTTGTACAACTTTATATGTTCTATATATCTTCAATTTTACTTGGTAATGCCAAATTGTTTTGCACAGTAACTATCAATTCACACATCCACCAAGAGTTTCCACTGTACCAAATCCTGGCAAGCACTAGATATCACAGGGCTTTTGTTTTTGTTTTTAGTTTTTACCAATCTGCTAGACAGAAAATGATATGTCATTGTAAGGTTTTTGTTTGTTTTTTTTGTTTCTGGTGTATAAGAATAAATAGGAGGGTTTATTTAAAATGCATATTCTTTGGCCCTACTCCAAAAAGTAAATTCAATAGGTCTACAGTGAGTCTGAAAGACTCCCTTTAGCCTTTCTTGTATGGAAGGTCTATTAGCAATGAAATCCCTCAAATGTTGTTTATCTGGGAATGTCTTAATTTCTCCTTCATTCTTGAAAGACACTTTTGCCAGAGTTTGGTTTTTTTCTAATTAAAGGATTTTATTTATTTGAGAGTAAGAGTGCACAAGCAGGGGGAGAGGGGGAGGGCAGAGGGAGAGGGAGAAGCAGACTCCCTACTGAGCAGAGAGCACTCCAAGGGGCTGGATCTTGGGACCCCGAGATCAGGACCCGAGCCTAACGAAGACAGACGCTTAACCGAGTCACCCAGGTGCCCCACTTCTGCCAGATTTTGAATTCTTGGTTGGCAGTTTTTTCTTTCAGCACTTTAAAATGTCATCACTGCCTTCTAGCCCTCAATATTAACTCAACCTTGAATTCTTTTTTTTAAGATTTTATTTATTTATGTGACAGAGAAAGAGAGAGAGCACAAGCAGGGGGAGCGGCAGGCAGAGGGAGAGGGAGAAGCAGGCTCCCCGCCGATCAGGGAGCTCAAGGCAGGGCTTGATCCCAGGACCCTGGGATCATGACCTGAGCTGAAGGCAGATGCTTAACCCACTGAGCAACCCAGGCACCCTCCCCAACCTTGAATTCTTAGGATGAACACAAGCTGGCTTATAATACATTGCTGCATTCTATTTCTGGGGTTTGGGTGAATTTCTGCATCTATGTTCATGACAGAATTGGCCTCTAATTTTCCTTTTGTGTACTATCCTTGTCTGATTTTGCTATCAAGTTATCTTAGCCCCATAAAATATATTAGGAAGCATTCTTTTTCATATGGCCATCCTGTAGCATAGAAATAGAATTACTGGGTATAAGCATTTTAAATTTTGTTAGATAATACCAAGCTACCCTCCAAAGGTCTATACCAATTTATACTCCCACCAGAGTACAAGAGCTTACATTCTTCCATACTCTTGCCAACACTGTTTTTTAATAACTTTTAAAAACTTCTGATGTCCAACTGGATGAACAAAAAATAATATGCACACTAAAAACATTAATAAGATTTCTCTAAATACTAGTGAAATAAAGCACCTTTTCAGTTTAACTGCCATTTTTACTTCTTATCATCAGACTTATTTTCCTTTCTAGGGACAGTCCCACCTCTGGTAAAGATAGCTGGTTTCTAGTCTGAAAAGTGGTCCACAACACAAAGTTTTGCTTGACCCCCAATTCCAAAGTAAATGCAACATTTAAATATCCAAAACTGTACTTGCCTTTAATAAGTGAAAAAGTATTATCCCCTCCACTTTTTCCATCATCCAACATCACTAACATAAACTATAGGAAATGTACAATTCCCTTACTATATGAATAAAGTTCCAAAAAGTTTGCTCACAGAAAAGAACTCTCAAAGCAATCATTATAATTAACATAAAAACTAAGTATTTGAGAATTTTGACTAGAAGAAAAATCAAGTACCAAGATTCTAATATCAATAATCTGCATTGATAATTATACAACTTGTTATCACATCTAATACATGTAAAAATTCTGAAGGAATTCAAGATTAGAAGCAGCTGCAACAACAGCATGAGGCATTTTGCTACTTGCTTGGAAACTGAAAATTAGCATAAATAAATAATAACAATCAATGTATTTGTCCCAAATAGTGCACGCTGGCCACAGAACACAACATAAAAAGCGCACTACACAAATTTATACCAAATCAACACTAAGGATAAGAACAGCTGCAGGTCATTTGCTTCTGAGTAGACTTAAACAAGCATAAGAGAAAAAAAATAACTCTTCTATAAAACTGGGTGTTCAGGACATGGCTTACATGTAAGTAAAACCAGAGACCACTATTACAAAGTTTTGGTGAAACATCCAAAAGATTCACAGAGACCGTTTATTTGACAAGTTTTGCTTGAAAAACTGAAATGTTACTCTGAATGGAGGTAAAAAGACAATGCTTCTGAAAATACCTGTGCTGAAATATTTACAATATAAAAAACAGGATGGACAATACTTTCCATTTAGCAGAATTTGCTACTAGCTAACCATGATCACATCAGCAACTCTTAAAATATTATGGTCTGTTCTTCAGAAGTTAAAGTTACCATAGGACCCAGCAATTTCACACCTAGTTATATATCTAAGAAAACATATGTTCACACAAAAATTTATACACAAATATTCCTTATTCATAACAGCTAAATAGTGTAAACAACCAAATGCCCACCAACTGATGAGTGAATAAAGTGTAGTACTGTATACATACAACTGAAAT